TATATATATTTTTTGTACATATGTTAACAATTAATTTTTACTTACCCAACCTAATTAGCTAACCCAATACCAACATAACTTAAATTTCACAACCCATTCTTTTTTCAAACTTTCCAAACCCAATTCTCAGCCAAACCTAATTTTTTTTGTGAATCTAATATTCCTATTTCCTAAACTTAATTGCCCAGCCCTAATTTACAGCCCAATTTACATATAACCCTAGCAGAAAGACATTTCACTTTCAGTCTCTTTTTTGCTTGCCACTTCTTGCAAATTGTGAATTTGGGATTTCTCATTCCTCTCTCGATCGACAGTCGGTCTCTCCTCTCTAGTCAATCTCTGACTCTGAGTCTCCTCCCCTCTAATCCTCTGCCACACTCTTCACTCTTACTCAAACTCTGCCCTCATCTTCACGAACCACTATGAATCAATGCTTCCCTTCAGCTCTCAACCTCTCACCGACTCACTGTGCCATCTCTTGGTCGATCACTCTCTCAGTCGGTCTGTCCAGTCAATCTCTAAGTTTCCTCTCCTCTAGTCCTCTGCCCTCATCTCCACAAACCTTCACAGTGATTCCCTTCAGCTCTTAACCTCTCACCGACTCACGGTGCCATCATTACAACCCTCGACCCTTGCTACCCTACAACGCTCACCACTCACCACTCACCTCCAGCTGAGCTCCAAGGCTGCCACTAGGTCGTCTCAGCCAGCCTCTCACCGTGGCATCGTGCCATCAGCCCGTCACTACAAGTCAACAACGCTCACCGCTCACCTCCAACTCTTCCAAGGCTGGGTCGTCCTCTTTCTCTTTCTGTTGTCGTGTGGCTTCCTCCTCTGCAGCTTTGCCTTAGATTCTTTTCAAACTCCAACTCCAGGTATCAATTAGATGCAGTTTCTAAATCTACCGTTTTTGTGCTTTGCTTTAGTGTTTCTAACTAGTATAATTTAATTTTTGTGCTTGAGTGCTTTAGTGTTTCTAACTAGTAATTTTTGTGTTTTTAATTAGTAATTTTTAATTTAATTTTTATGCTTTAGTGCTTGAGTGTTTTTAACTAATAATTTTAGTGTTCTATCCTCACTACACCTAAGCATTGCATGCATTTGCATCTTGCATATCATGGATTGTCCCCAAATAGGAAAACCCGGTGGGAAGTATTGGTTGGTACAATCTAGGGGGCTGAGTCATACCATCCCCAAAAACCCACCAGCTGCTATCAAGTACTCCTCTTAGGAGGGTATACCAAAGTGGGGGTGCATAATAACGCTTGACCATAGTAATTTCTAATTTAATTTTTGTGCTTTAGTGCTTTGTGCTTCAGTGTTTTTAACTATTAATATTTAATTTAATTCATTCTTAGGTATCAATTAACCAATGTCTTCACAAGAGCCTAGCCCCCCATTGATTCAAATTCCAAATGAATCAAGTGCAAGTGTTATACCGAGTGCTGCTGCTACACCAACTTCATCCTCGGCTATGGTTCCTCTTCCTCTTGCATTAGAAAGTGGTACTAGTGAAGATAAAAAAGATGATCAAGGACATAAGCGGCCACTTACTTCTGAAGCATGAAACCATTATAGGAGGCAAAAAATTAATGGTCATTGGAAAGCTATTTGTGTCTATTGCAATAAACATCTTGGAGGTGAGACCAAGAATGGGACAAGTCATTTGCGTGATCGCACTCGGGTCTATCCATTGAAATCTGTTTCTGACATAAGGCAAACATTTTTGAGAGCTTCAAAGAATCAAGAAGGAAAAATAGAACTTGGGCATGGACTTTTCAATCAAGAGATGGCTAGAAGGGAACTTGCATATATGATTATTGCGCATGACTTACCTCTATCAATTGTTGATCATATTTTCTTTAGAAGGTTTGTTGCTGCTCTCCAACCAAGGTTCAAGTATGTTTCGAGAAACACAATCAAGAAAGATATCATGGGCATCTATCGTAATGAAAAGTCTAAAACAATGAAGTTGTTGGAGGTCAATCAAAGTAGAATTGCCATCACAACTGACATGTGGACTTTAAATAATCAAAAGAGAGGTTTTATGGTCATCACAGCACATTATATTGACAATTCATGGATGTTGCAAAATCGAATTATCAGGTGACATTTTGTTATTTTTGTTCTGATTTTTTTAAATATATATTTATGTTTATGAGTTTAGAATATTTAGTGTAATTCTTTCTATTGTTTTTTATAGTTTTCAATATGTGCCTTGTCCACAAACTTCTAAGGTACTTGCAAAAACTTTGTTACATTGTTTGATGAGTTGGAATATTGATAGGAAATTGTCTACAATCATAGTAGATAATTGCTCTACTAATGATGCCATGGTAAATGTGTTGTTAGGAAAAGTTTCTGATGATTCATTATGGGTAGAAGGAACCTTGATACATATGCGTTGTTCTGCACATATCTTAAACTTAATTGTCAAAGATGGGTTGGAGGTAATTGTTGATGGAATTGAAAGGGTTAGAGATAGTGTTGCTTTTTGGACAGCAACACCAAAAATAGAGGAGAAATTTGAAGAGACGGCTGAACAATTGAAAATTATTTTTTCAAAGAAATTAAATCTTGATTGTAAGACTAGATGGAATTCAACCTATTTAATGCTTCCTGTGGCTTTATATTATAAAGATGTTTTCTCTCGTTTGAAGCAAAGAGACTCACAATATAACTGTTCACCATTAGAAAAGGATTGAGAAATGGCCAAGGAGATTTCTAGTAGGTTGATATTGTTTTATGAAATCACTGAATTGTTTTTAGGGAATAAATATCCTACTGCTAATATTTTATTCCCAAAGATTTGTGAAATTAAAATTGCATTGATGGCATAGTTGACTTGCGAAAATGTTGTTATAGAAACAATGGCAGAAAAAATGCTTGATAAATTTGACAAGTATTGGAGTGAGGTTCATGGCATTATGGCTCTAGCAACTGTTTTAGATCCTAGATACAAAATGGAGTTGGTAGAGTTTTATTTTATTGAAATTTATGGAGATAGAACTAGAGGGGAAATGCAAAAAGTTTTGAGGCTTTGTTATGATTTGATTGATAGATATCAATCTAAAACTTCCCAAAATGAGAGGTGTGTGCAAGTGTCTAGCCCTAGCCATGCTCCACTAGTGGCTGCCTCATCTTTCTCTATGATTGGTAATAAAAATTTTGTTGAAAAATTCAAGACATTCCTTAATTCAAAAAGTAGTGCAACAGCTGTGAAATCAGAGTTAGATGCTTATTTAGAGGAAAGGGTGGTTCCCTTTGAGGTAGAAGAAGCTTTTGATATTCTGAATTGGTGGAAAGTTCATGGGCTAGGTTTCCTATATTGCAAATGCTTGCTAAAGATGTGTTTGCCATTCCCATATCCATTGTACCTTCAGAATCAGCTTTTAGTACTAGTGGAAGAGTTATTAGTCCACATCGAAGCAAGCTTAGACCAAATACGATACAAGCACTGATGTGTCTTCAAGATTGGTTGAAGAAAGATCTAAAAGGTATTAAATTAAGGCTATATTTCTTTTATTTTCTTATTTTTGAATTTATATTCTAAACTTTTATTATGTTTGAAATTCAGGTTCTGACAATAATGGGAATTTCTTCAATTTATTTGAGGAGTTGGAGGAGAATGATAATGAGGATGATGAGTCTGAGGTAAATTTTAAACAATAATGTTTCTTTATATAAATTATTATATAAAGAAATTTTTCTAAAATTTTGTTAATTTGGGGTATTTGTTTTTATTTCAGGAAGTTATTTCCTCAACTTGAAATTATTGATCAAGTTTAGCTTAAGTTGCAGCTGTAAAGTTTGTTTTGCTGGATTGGATGGATATGTACGCATCTGCCACTTCGTAGACTCTTTTATGTGCTTTTTCTTAATGAAGTTATTGCTGGACATGTTGGCAATAGCTTATGCTTTTTTTTTTTTTTCTATCAACTTTGCTAAATCTAGATATATATGACAGTTGCAATTTATGCTTTTATTTTTTATAAACCTTTTGTTGGATTTGTTGGATTTATATGGCAGTTTATGCCTTTTTTCTTTCTGAAATATGAACTTGTTGCTGGCTTGCTTGTTGGACTTGCTTGACAATGACCTGTATATATTGTCTATGTTATTGTGTATATTTACTACTTGTTTATCTTGTTTTAAAAAGAGTGATCTTGATTATCTTTGTTTGCTATCTAGGATTTTGTAAAATTGCTATTTTCTTTTGGAATTTTCATTAACAAGAAATGAAATAGGTGATAGTTTTATTTGACGAGAATTCTGAATACCCGCAGAGACCTATTATTCTCCGCAGGGATGGAAACGGAGGCAATTTTTGACCTTCCATAAAAAATCTTCATAGAAATCCCCGTACCTGTCATTAACAAAGATAGAGATGGAAAGGGCGTCCTCGCCCCCCGGGAACCCATTGCCATCCCTAAGGCTCACCATGCACCAATTGCCACCAAAAGTCTCGCGGGTGGAAGACGACAAAATCAATGCAATGCCGGGCCAACAATGACTACCAAATTAAGTAACCAAACTCGATCGACAAATTAATCTCGCCTCAGCTGTAGGGCTGTTTTATAGCCACCCATAGGAATGTTAGAGTTCTTTATTAATAATTAAGATAATAATTAATATTTATTAATTAATATTTAAAAATTAACAAATTAACATTTTTAAATAAAAAAATGAAAATTTGTATTGCTATTTACGTCTTTTCTCTCAGACTTTGAACATCCTGCTCTCCGACGGCTGCAGAAAACCCTAAAGAAAAATTAAGCTCTTTGAAATTTTCATTTCCAGTGCCTCCTTCCATTTTGCTTTCTCCCCGTATATATGGATCCAGAAAGCTTCTCCATTTTGAGAAAATTTTTACAGAAATGTATCGTATTCCTGTTTTTAAATACCTTATCTAATGAAACACTGCCCTTTGACTCCAAATTTGAAGCTCGCGTGTCTCAATCATGCGGAAATATCCCAAATTAGCTATCCATTTTGGATTTTTCAGGAACAAGAATCCTTTGCCTACCCAAACTTTGAGATCACCTGCAAAGACAAAAGTCCAAATCTCACCTTGTCGGATGATAATTATATCATTTAATTTTTTTGCCTGGGTTTTATTTTGTCAAACCTCAATCCATTTTCTTTCAATTTTCCTTGCAGCAAACAAAATCACCCAAATATCAATTCATGAAAGTTGATTAGACTTTGCAGATCTGGGTTTGTAAGCATGGTCAGCGTGTGCGATGTGTGAGACTCAGAGGGACCCGATCTGGATTTTTCTGTTCGTGCAAGGGTGAGGCTCACTCGTCGGCCTTGAACGACAAAACTTCACCGACCGGTTAGAATTTTCACCGGCTCTTCATTCGCTTTCCTATACGGGTTCTAGCATTCTGCCATTAACAGAGAAAAAGAGGAGAAGGGAGAAGGTTATGGACTTATGGGTAAGGGAT